AATAAATTAGAATAAATGACAAAAAATTTCTACATTTATTTAGGTTGTAGAACACCTTGCCATTTTGTGGTTAAGAAATACTGGTATTTAATTTCACTGTGTAAACTGGGATATACAGTTTATTTGTAAGTGCTGCTACCATGAATCTGAACAGGGCATGGTTAAAAGTATGAACTGCAGTGTCCAGGGAACAGTACCATCCTTACGCCTGGGAAGTGAGGCAGAGAAGTGCCCTGTGCCTTTCTTGAAAATTTCTAAATCCCCCTCTGATGCCTGGAATTTTCTAGGGGCTGGTGGCATCATCTACCTGAGCCTGGGCTGGGATGTGTGTGGGTCTCTGTCCCATTTTCTCCTATTTGGGTTGCTCTCCCTCTCATGTGATGGGTTGACGAGATGTCCTAAGGAACTGTGCCACTTGGCCGTGTGGGAGCATCCTGGGGCTCCAATGCCGTGCTCTCGTTCTGGAAAGGTAGACTAATAAGCTGATTATTCCTGATAGCCCCTGAAGTATTTCTTTTGTGAATACATACAAGATTGAGCTATCAGAATGGTACTCACATGATAATCTTGGGTAACATTCAGACACATTTTCCAGAGCACCAATTCTGGGCCCTGGGGTACCCAATGTAGACTGCTTTCTCTGTGATTGAACTATATGTATGGACCCATATATTGGTGACCCCCAATCTGCAAAACCTGAGGGCCCAAGTATTGGATGCAAGTGTCCTTTAGCCTTGATACCCCTGCTGCTGGCACCCAGCAAAGTTGTCCCGTCCCCTTCTTGGGCTTAATACCACATATTGGGTCACCTCTGTTAGTTTCAGTGCTTATCTCTCCTCAAATATTTTCAAATCATTGCACTGCAGTGCCAGTGAGCCATTCCAGCTGATGTATTTTCTTGCCTTCAACATATGGGTCAGTATCGTGCTCTCCCAACTTGGTGTTAAAGTGGGCTGGATGAAGAAGAAACATTGGTTGTCCTAATAGGAATATTCGTTTTTTTTCTTTCTCACTAGTGGCAGCCCGTAGAAGGCAAGGGTGCAGTCAACCCTTAAAGGATTCACATTTCAGAAATGCCAGGGTTAACTTCTAAAGAGTTCAAAGAAGATATGGAGTTGTAGGATGTGTTGTTTTCTTTTTACACTGTATAATTCCAAGCAGCTAATGTAACATAATCAGAAAATGAGTTAACATTTGAGTTTTGTGCGTTCTCTTAGTAAGACGTGGTTTTGCAGGCACTGTCAATGAAGCACATGAATAACTTTTATGAGAGTCATCAGAATCCAGGATTCTTGGGTAGCTTGACAGATGATGTAGTATCTGAAGTAATGATGTAACCAGCATTAAATAAATGCAGCTAGGAAACTGAAGAGGCAAGAAAACCTATAATTAGAAAAAATTCCAAAAGGTTCTGAAGAGCCATGGCATTGTGAGTAATAATGGTATGGCTCCCAATTTTCACAGTTGGCAGAATGAAATAGCTGGGAATGATGCATATGACAGTAAGAACATGAATTTATGATTCCTGAATTGGACAGGAAGAGATGGTACTTGGACCCTAAGAAGAATCTTCCCATGCACTGATTGGAAAATAAACCACTATCTATCTCCTTTCTACCCACTCCCTTCCTCAAAAAAAAAAATCTGTATACCTTACATGAGCCCATGAATTCTATATTACATTTTAAAGATCAAATTGCTACTATTAGTCAAGACTCTGCAAAATTATTTGCCAAGG